AAACTTCTGTGGACGGGGTAAAAGGTCATAGTCACCAGGGTTCATCTAGGAGGGATATAAAGTACCAAAGTGGCTCATGCCAAGTAATAACACAGTGCTTCAAATTCTATTTTAAGAAGTTGGGAGAGGCAGGAGAGATTTTATACCTAGAAAACACAATGCAGCTCGCCTAGCGCAACTGAAATTCACCTTGTTAAAGTATTGGTAAAGATAAAACCTATAATTTCTTCCTGTGCTCGTCTATTTGCAGAGCCCATGGGCAGCATGTCATCCATGGAAGTGAATATTGACCTGCTGGAGCAGATGGATCTGATGGATGTGTCTGACCAGGAGGCCCTGGATGTCTTTTTGAATTCAGGTGGAGAAGATAACACTGTGCTGTCCCCTGTCTTAGGTAGGGGGACAAATGTGCACAAATTTAACCATAGTTATTATTTCCCTTCACAGAGCAAACGTCAGAGTAACGTGAGCCATCACGATGTTCAGATCTCTGAGCTCAGGCACCTCCTGCTGCACTAACCCCGTGTCTGCGCTCATGGGGGCAGGCAAATGGGGCATGACGGTCGCAGTCATGAATGGCTCAGAGATTTAAGTGCTCTACCCAAATGCCTTCAGAGAACAGACAGTGGGGCCAGCCCCATGGCCGACTGGTTAAGTTCACACGCTCTGCTGCAGCGGCCCAGGGTCCCCGGTTCGGATCCTGGGCACGGACATGGCACCACTTGTCAGGCCACGTTGAGGCAGCGTCCCACATGCCACAGCTAGAAGGACCTGCAACTAGGATATACAACGATGTACCAGGGAGCTCTGGGGAGATAAAGCAGAAAAAAAAAAGATTGGCAACAGTTGTTAGCTCAGGTGCCAATCTTTAGGGGGCAAAAAAAAAGAGAACAGCTTTCTTAATTCATGTTTTACTGCCTCCTGTGGCAGAGAAATTAACGTTGATTGGGTTTGTGTGGTTATCTTAAGGTCTGGACATGGGAGCTCCCTGCGTGGCTCACACATCCATCCGTCTTCTTTAAACTCCCCGCCTTCATTCAGCAGATGTTTATTTGATGTCTGCCATGAGCAAGGCCGAGATGTGTGCTCAGCACTTGGCTTCTGTTTTACAAATTAGTTGCAGCCCTGTGTGCACTTTCACGCCATTTAATACCTTTCCAAAATTTCATTTCACATTCACTTAGCAAATATTTACTGCAGCTCCAGCCCTGTATCTGGGCTCAATTTCTTTTAAATTTAGACCACTCCTTTTGGGTGGGTCATCTTATATATGCAACATTACCAAGAAGGTGTTTTAAGTTTTCCACATACAAAAAAGGGGACAGGCCTTAAGCTCAGTCCTTCAGCAACACTTTGTCCCCTCTAGACACTGTCACCAACCACAGGCTCCACTTCCTCTAAAGTCAGATCCCTTGGGTTTCTTGTCCACTTGGGCTGTCTTTAACATCTCAATAAAGCAGCTACATTCTCCTCTCCTGGAAAATATGTGAGAACAGTGTTGTCGTGGGGCAGGGGCCCTGCCTGTCCTGAGAAGGCTGGGACACTGGAGATGGGAATGACACTGGCCCCTCTCCTGGAGTCAGGAAGAGATTTAGAACAGTGACTCCGTCATCTGTGTGGTTGGGTTCCTTTAAGCTCTTACTTAGCTCCCATGAAATGGGAGAACTGCCAAAAGATCAGCACGAGTTTTCTCTTAGCATTGATGTCTCGGAGTTACTTCAAGAACGTCAAGTAGCAGATATGGATTATCCAGGATACATGGAATGCTTCTCACAGAAATGCAGTGTGTGCCCCTGGGCCTGCAGCACAGGATCTTACTGGATATCGACAAAAGGGTTCTGGATCTTTTCATCTGTCACAGGTGCAATCAGCTCAAAAAACCCCTGGGGGCCTCTGGCATCACCCGGCTCAGCATTTCTGGGGACAGTCCCTGCACTGCAATGGGCAGCCTGCTTCTGCAGCCCCCAGACACCGCAACAACAGAGTTACACCCCTTTTATTCTATGCAGGTTCAAACAGTCATCTTCAGTGGCAAGTCTAAATGGCAATACTTTTATGACGAAGTTTTTCCTACTTTATTTTGCAGGGCCTGAGTTGAGTATCGGCCAGAGTGAAGTTACGCTGCAGGTTCCAGATCCCTCTGAGTTCCGAGCTAAGCTGCCTACCCTGTCCTCTGCCAGCCCCGACCCAGCCACCCAGGACCCCAGCGAAGGTGGGGAGTCCCCCGTTGTTCAGTCTGACGAGGAGGGAGTCGAGGTGGACACTGCCCTCGCCACTTTACACACTGATGACAGTGACTCCTAAATCCGGGCGCTTGCATTCTCTGACCACCCGAGGAAGACGCAGCTCATGCAGAATCCCACTGTGAAAGCTGGGGGTCTCATGGAGGCGCTTGATTTTGACACGTGCGAATAATGTGTGCGAAACGGACTGAAAGAGCAGGTGACAATAAAGCTTGAGGCCTGGAACCGGGCGAGTGCAGAGCCGGTTTGTAAAGAAAACCTGGTCCGTGCGCACGTCCTGTGTACGCAGGAGGGCGGCTCGGGGTCCCAGGGCCACCGGGGGGGCTGCGCTGGGCCGGAAAACGTTAGTCTCCACATCGGCTCTGCACTGGATATAACCCTTTTACAGACAGAAAATCCTGCTGCTTCTAAAATATAACTGTAGTCCAACCCAGCTCTAACAAAGCGTGGGTTTTCATCTGACCATTACATAATAGTCCACCAACCAGCCCCCACTTTAAACTGGAGCACACGGTCTGGGCCCAGAGGGAGAGACAGGAGGCCAAATCAGTCAGTAGTCACTATTCCTGCTGACGAGGAGCTGCTCACGCAGAGCTGTCTGCCTATGCCTCCACTCCTGCAGCCCAGCACCCAGCGGGGATGGCAGCCTGCTCACAGCAGGGGCAGTGCAGTGGGGGAGGGCCCTTGCTCAGGTGAAGGCCAGCTGCAGGGCAGAGAGCCCAGCCCAACCCCACCTGCTGTCACAGTGCTGCATCCCGGGGAGCAGGGCCACAAGCTGGGTTCCCATGGGCAGCACCGAAAATACGGGGAAAACAGCAGCCATTTGGGTTTGCTCCAAGGGGACTCAGACCATCACCAACAGATGGAAAGTGAGCATGATTAACCTGTGTCCTCTGCTCCACTCCCTACCTGAGGGGAGAGATCTCAGCCCTCCGCCCTCTTAGCAGAAAAGAAAGAGCTCATTTCATTCACTCATCTTCCACAAGACAGACAAAAGTCCAAAAAACTTTGTTTTTATTATTAAACCTTGTAGTACAAACCTGAAAAGTAAACAAAAAACTGGCAATAAACAACATGAAGTCTTCCCTCCCAAGGGAGGAGTGCAGAGCAGCGCTAATAAATTAAATGTCAAACTGTAAGCCATAGGCAGAAGTTTACTGTCAAAAAGAGGGAAAGTACACAGCAAGGCCATAAAAACCGGACAACCACATTGGAAAACACTTGACTCTGTTCATGTCATTGTTAAATATTCCAAAACAGTTCAGTCTTCTGCAACAACAACCAACAAAGTGTATCACAGGACGTTCCTGACAGTCCCACTGGCGAGCTCAGTGCAGTATGGGTAGCTACGGGATCGATGAGTCCAATCATGAAACAAAGAACAGCTTGTGAAAACAGGTTCCCTTTTTTATTCCACACATACTGTACACACAACCGGAGAAGGGCAACAGCTACTCCATTATTATTTTTTTGTTGTTGTTCAGTGATGTAAGCAGCACTTATAAATGTTACAAGAAAAACCCTGTAAGCATCCAATCCAACCGATGAAGAAACTGAAATGTAAGGCTTTTCTTCATCTTGTCTTCTCACCCCCCTCCCCACCCCCCACCGAGAAAAAGGCTCAAGTATTTAAAACAATTTACAGGCGTATGTACAAAAGGGATGGGAGTCTTTTTTTTTTCTTTTTTTTACTTTTTGTTAGAACATGAAGAGAAAAAATAGACAAGATGAGGGCAAATGCATTTTCACATTCAACAAGAACTGCAGGCCTCCTAGTGGCTCTAAATGTGATCACAAACGAAACAAATTTAAAAAGAAAGATTAATGCTGACTTGTGACGGTGTCAAATGACAAGCGGCGAGATGAAGATGGAATGTTAGAAAGATTGCACATCTATGACAAAGAAGCACTTAACGGCTTCAATCACTTTTTTTCCTTTTTTTTTCCTTAAGGATGCTATTGAAGGGTTTTTTGATAAAGTAGCCAACAGCACCAAAAAATAACAGAATGGATTTCCTAATGAAATCAGGCACAGGTTTTCCTCACGTGACCCCTCCAAGGCAGGCAGTCTTTTCCTCCCTCGCTCTTCTCTCCCTTCGACAGATGCATAGTGATGTGCTGGTAAAGAGAGCCTAGTCAGCCCAGTCCCCTCAGGTCGCCTCTGGTTAGGAAACGACGTCCGCCTCCAGCTGCCGCGACCGCCCGCAGAAACACAACGGCGGCTCTCCGGTTTAGAAATTACAAACTCATCTTGCACATGACAGAAGAAAAGACAGCCAAAGTAAAGCCATTTCTTTTCAAGTTTTTTGTGTGTGTGTGTCTCCTATCCCTTTTCCTCTCTAGAAAAATCTGCTCACATGACTGATGGTTTTAAAATTTGTTCTCCAAACTTCACCCTCTTCAAAATTGGGTTAAAAAGCCTTTTTTCCCCCAACAGTTACAAAAAAAAAAAAAAAATCAAACAAACAAAAAGGCTTTTGTCAGCCACAGGGGCAATACAAATTAATACAGCCCCTCAAGGGTTTTAAAACAGTGAATATACGGCAGTTTCAAAAATCTGACTGCAGTATCTAGGTATTCTAAGTACAAAAAAAAGTTCAACAGTTTAATGCTAAAACAAAATTAGTTCTCTAAAACCAGAAGAAAATCTTCTTTAGAGCTAGTGCAAAGACAGCTTGTATCCTACAGCAAGTACTCCAAACTAGAATATAATAATTACAAAAAAATAGATCTCGCTTGACCACGGGGGCTGGATCTTCAGGAGGAGCTCGAAGCACTTTTGGCTGCGCTGGAGGAGGAAAGCCGGGCCGGCGGCACGTCCACCGTCGCTCTCTTGCGGGGCCCTCTTTTTGGTGTAGGTTTACTGAGACAGTTCTCAATGCTGCCGTTCTTACCAGATACCTTGCCACAGATCTGATTGACCAGACTGATAATTTGTTCCTGTTGGGGGTTGAAAGGAAGGCAAAGAATTATTAAACCAAAAGAATGTGTCCCCAGAACCACCCAGGAGACATGTAAGCCAAGCTGGGCTGTGCAGCTGGGCAGCCAGTCACCTTCATCAAACCCAGTCAGGACTGAGATTTCTGAGCACCGACTGCCTACAGTTCGGGAACTCCTGCTGGGAGGGCCTCTGAATATCTCCCCTAGCGACTGTGAGATGCAGCCGGCTTGAGGAGTTAGAACACCACTTCATGAGAACGATGCCCCTAACTGGGCCCCTAAAATAAAATGCTTTCCTTCCTCGGGAGAAACTTGCCATCTCTCATCTGAAAGCCAGCGTGACACAGGGCAGGCTCCTAACCTCCCCTTCGTCATCCAAGACTCGAGGGAGCCTGCAGCACCCCCCAGTGGCCGTGAGGTTTAAACACACTGACAGGCTAGGAGCCCCGGAATCCAGGAGTCCCATGACGACACACGGGAGGTACGGAACCGGCTCCTAGGAGCAGCATGCCCCTGGGTCTCCACAGAGCCCCTCACCACGGAGCCAGATCACACCTGAGACGGACGCGGCCAGCAGCTACAGCTGGTCACTGTCCTACTGCCAACCACCAGGGAGCCTCCGTGGGTCACCCCTACAACCTTGGAGCTCAAAGATGTCAACCTACAATGAGGTGTTTGAGAAGACTCATGGGCTTGAGAGCTCTAGTCCTCTCGACTTGGCCCTGGATGGTGACAGATGCCTGCTGGCTTCATAGCTCCCCTCACACTCGAGCCTACTTCACCTGGTCTTGCACATGCAAACATCTGTCTATAAATATTTCTCCTCCTCAGCGAAGGGGAGATGGCAAACAAAACAAGCATTCTTATAGTTCACTCGAGAGAACCATCTAGCTGTTGGTATCAAAAATATTTCTAAGTTTAACACAACTCGTAACCATCTAGTTTTAAAAGAAACCATGGAAAGAGTATCAAGATGGCAGGTGGCTTGACATGCATTTCAGGAGCCTCCTGCTCTGGGCCAGGGACGGATGGAGCCCTGGAGACCCGGGGTGGAGGCTATTCCTTTACTCAGAGCCTGGGGGCCACATAAGGCCCAGGGCCTGCGCTTTGTCCCTCTGGAAACGAGCACCAGAGGCTCTCATTACAGAGACGTGGGAGGTGTTGAAGAAGTTAAAGGCAAACACGGGAGAAGCGAGTGAAAAGAAATACGGTTAAAGGCGCCCCGGGATGGGGCAGGGCTGGGTATTGTAAAAACAATCTCTGTGGTGTTTACAGCACTTCTGATAAACACGCTACTAAAGGATAAACAGATGAACTTAGTAAAAACCCAGTTACGTGTGGCAAAAGCCCTCTCGACAGCAGGAGGAGCCAATGTCGTGCGGTCAGTGGAGGACATACTGCCTTCATCTGTGTGACCAAAGCACCGGGACACAGGATGTACCTGCTGGGCACACCAGGGCTGAGAAGAGCAGCCTATGAGGGCTCATGAGCGATTCCTGAAACCCTACCCTGAGCCAGAAAGTCCCCAGTTAAAACAAAATGCACAGTTCAATTCAACAGGGAACTGACTGCAGACTCTCCTGCAGGAGAACAAGTGAGGCCACAGGCAGAGAGGCGGCTCCGAAGCACCCTTTCTCCTCCTCTCGTCCACCCAGTGAGGAGGCTTCAGACCGACAGCCCCTGTTCACGTGATTCACCTGCCAGATCTGGTCCTGTCACCCCACCCCGCTACCAGATGGGCCGTTTGCAGAGTGTCACAGTCGTGCTGGAGGAGCCCAGGGCCATGCGGACTCCCACTCAGGAGGAGGCGGGCTGGGAACTGAGCCATGAGCGGCCACGCCTTTGCCGAATGCGCTCTTGACAAAAGAGGAGACGCAGAAATGGGTTTCCAGCGTTCTCATCCTACAAGTGACCCAAAGGCCCACCAACTCTGCCCCTTGGCCTGCGCCCTGCAGATGCACGTCCCCTCCCTGGGGCTGGGATGTGTGCCGGAGGGCACGGGCACCTGCCACAGGACCAGCTCCTCGGATCCCGCAGGGCAGGGCGGGTTGTGCCCTGCACACGGACCGGCCACCGCAGATGTCACAGCGAGGGGGACCCCGCTCTGGAAAACCTGGGACAAGAGCCTGGGGCCATCCCGGCGCCCTCCACAGTGGCTGACCAAGGTGGCTCATCACCAGAGACTCTACCAGACTGCAGGGACCGAGCCGTGACACAGAATGGGCTTCAAAGATGCCGTCTCTGACGATGACAGGTTTCCAGTAAAGACACAGCGGGAAAAACCAACCCCGGGCAAGGGGATGGGGTGGGTGGCTCCTCACACTGGGGAGGCAGCACAGCAAGCAGTGAGGACCGGCTGGACCAGGGGCTGAGGCAGCAGGCGGGGCGGGGAGGAGCTGCGGCCTTGAGGGAGAGAAAGGCCAGCCTTAGAGCGGAGGGCCCTCGGGTGAGGACAGAGTCGGCTGGCAGCTCCACCTGCTTCTGCCGCGCTTGCCCTCAAGATTGAGATTAGACGACAAATTCCTATGAAGATAAAGATGCTGTGCTGCTGTCTGCAGGGGATCCACGCAGGAGCAGGCGGGCCTCTACCGTGCCGGCACACAGCTTTCACTCGCCCCTGCCCCCTCACCCTGGCGGACAGCTGGACCAGTTACAATGGTCACTGTGTGTGGTGAAAGGGCAGCAGGCGTCACAGTCGAACGCGCCCTGGGATTCTAAGCTGGAGGGAAAGTGCCCTCTCCTCTCCTTATGGGAGCTGGTTCGGCACACCCTGGCCCGCAACACAACTTCGGAGCACAAACTCCCTCCCGAGGGCTGCCAGCTGCCACTCCAGGGAAGCGATACCAAGATGTAGTTAGCTGTGGCCAAGGGAAGGTACTAACTGATGTCTCAGAGACTCCGTGGGGCTACAGCCAGGAAGACTCCCCTGGCCCAGGACCTGGGAATCCGGCTTCTCTGAGGTCAAAGAGCCAGCCTGGAGGCCCTCAGAGCAGGCACAGCTGCTCGCTCAGCGTGTCCCGTGTCTAGACGGCCCAGGGCCTGCAGCAAGGGAAGACAAGGCCTATATCTTCCCTTGCTGATCCGAACTGGTCACCTTCACTTTGGGTCTGTCCTCTGACAGATGTGCATAGGCAGTCCACTGTCCCCTCCGAATCTGGGCCTTGACCTGGGCCATAGAGAACAGCACAGTCACCCATTTCCTTAGCAGCCTGGCCAGACAGGGTGGTACTCTGGAAACCAGCACCCAGATCCTGAACCCACGTCCCTGGTAAACTGAGGCCCGGGTGGTCAGGAATACTGACTGTGACACTCTAAGAGCTCAGGTGGGCAAGGCAGAGGTGTGGGCCCTAACGAGCTGCAGGCCGGCTGCAGGGCAGGTGGAGGGGTGGGCAGGGCCCACTGGGACGAAGTGACAGTTAACATGAAGGAAGAAACTGCAATGAAACAAACCTTGTCAAAGTAAAGAAATTTCTACAGTTTCAGTTCCCGGGTGTCTGGAGGTCAGGTGGAACACGAGCTGAACCTACCCATTTCCCCCGTGTGTGGGCAAAGAGCTACCTCCCCATCGAGTCAGGCTCTGTCTGCCAGAGAGCCCCGGGAACCACGCTGGCTGCATCGGGTCCTAGGCTTGCCAAGCTTGCCAAGCGGTACGGACAGAGGCTCACTCGTCCCTATGGTAACGAGGGCAGGTGACAGTCACCTTCCCCTACAGAGGCCCTGGCTGCCTTCCTGGGCACTCGGAACACTAGGCCCCAGAAGCTTGCCTCAGGCAGGGCCCCCCTCGTCCCCCGTGGGGACTGACCTCATCGTAGCGGTACATCAGCTTCAGTCCTCGGCAGGACTTCTGCTTCTCCACGTGGCGCAGGGCACACTCCAGGCAGAACACCACATTCTCGTTCTCCTGTACGACCTGCGGAAAGAAGCACTCCTGAGGCCCCGAAGGGGCTTGACGCACTGCTGTCCAGGGACACTGGTGAGGACAACTGGAAGAGGGAGAGAGTTCCCAGAACAAGCCAGGAAGGCCTGTCCTTGACATCGACCGGCCAAGCTAAGGGATATCATGACTCAAAAACATCAGAAATGGATGAAGAAAAAAACAACAATTGTGTAGAACAGAGTCTTCAAGCAGGAAACAACTGACCGTCTCCGAGTTGCAGCTGAGGGCGGCCGCGAGGCCCCTCCAGGTTTCTGCTGCACGTCCCCAGGGGAGGTTCTAAGCACCATCAATCCAGTGAAGACGGGATGAAATAGTGATGCTTGTTTCTAAGTTCTCGAATTCTAAGGGTTTCTGAGACTTTTTGTGCAAAAACTGCCCTGGCACAGGAGGTGCGAGAAGAGACCCAGAGCGAGGAGGACTAGACACTGGGGCAGGCGTGCAGGGAACACACCCCGGACATGCAGCAGCCACGTGCTGTGTTCTCAACCTGCTGGTCAGCGGCTCAGTCAATCCAGCTGGTTACATGGAAGCTGCCCCTACACCACTGGGAGGGCCACTGCCTCCATGCGAAATCACCCCAATCACAAGCTCTTGATCCTCTGCAACCCAGACAGGGTCCCCGGCCTGCCCCATAGAAGCCTCCGGGCTGCTGTGGGAAAGCATATGCCAAGTCCTGAGGCCACACGGAGCACATGCAGACAGCACGTGGACAGGCCTTTCTGCTTTAGACATGGGGAGGGAGGTGCGCCGTGGCTGGGCAGGGGCTCCCTCTGGACGCGGGAGGGCCTGGTCTGTGTGGGAAGTGCTCACCCGTCACCCTGACTTCTAGTCCTGTTCTCATTCTGTGTTAAAAAAAAAAAGGGAAAATGCTGCCTTAACACACAAGATCCAAGAGCTTCACAGGCCTTTGTCATGAAGATTTAGGGGAAAGACAGGATTCCCATCTTCTGAGTTTCTAAGCAAAGACAAGAAGAGCTGTAGGAGAAAGGAAGTGACACTTATCGGCAGAAACACATCACCTTTTAAAGACACCTGGGGCTAAGGACAAGAATAGACAAAAACACTAAACAGACTAAGCAGAAATGCAAGAACTTAGTAATCCAAGCAATGAAAATTGTAAATATGAATAAAATCTATTTTTACCTATGAATTTAGGATATAACCTTTTAAAAACACCAATCAGGCTGATGATAAAAGACTGGTCAGAAGTGACAACTCTCAAGGCACAACGTTCTGAAGGAGAGCTTGAAAATAAGCCCACAGGAACAGACCAGGGCCACACACAGAGCTCATGACGGCGTCACTCACGTTCATGGGAAAGAGCGTGGTTATTATTTCCCATGGGAGTAACTCCATCCAGCACAAGGAGAAGGGACATGGAGTTACCCAGCTTTCGTGAGTGATGTTTATGAAACGGTGTTAAGATCGGGAGAAATGCTTGTGACTTATTTTTTTTTTAAGACAGCATGGTTCTCAATTATATCTTTAAAAAAGCACCTGGAAAAAGAAAGACTGGACAGAAGAAAATATGTAAAGTGGGATGCAGAGTTGTTACCGTCTTAATTATGCCCCTCCCCCAACTGCAATGTTGAAGCCCTAACCTCCCAGGACCTCAGGATGCGACTATATTTGCACACAGGACCTGTGAAGAAGTAATTAATGAGGTCTTAGGGTGGGCTCTGGACCAACAGGACTGGTGTCTCTGTAAGAAGAGAAGATGAAGACACAGACACACATGGGGGAAGACCACGTGAAGATGCAGGGAGAAGGCCATCTACAAGCCAAGGAGCGAGGCCTTAGAAGAAAACCCTGCCAACACCTCCTTCTCGGACTTCCAGCCTCCAGACTAGGAGGAAATAAACTTCTGTGTCGAAGCCCGTGGTCTGTGGTGCTTTATTATGGCAGCCCTGGTGGCTATTCCAGAGGCCTCTCCCCTCTCCCAGTGTTCTGACCCCTCAGATGCTACAGTGAGCATCTGACTCAAACAGGAGTGCCAGCCAGGTCCCTCTTGTCTGCGGGGAAGCCGGGTAGGGGCCAAGACATGGGGCTGGGAGTCAGATCTGGGAAGCACTCACGGGACGCTGCTGCCATGCCAGGTTTGGGGTGGGCACTTACTATGTAAGCTTCTCTATCTGGAAGAAGGATCTGCACAGGCGGGGAGAGGGCACTGGACCTGCAGGGCTGTGAGTGCCAAGCCGAGGCATGTGACAGTGGAGACAGCTTGAGTGGGAGCTGGGTGTATCCCACAGACCTGTGTCAGGGCAGCTGCCCCAGGGGAAGGTAAGAGACGAGCTGGAAGAAGCAGAGGAGAGGGCTACACCAGTCCAGTTGTCCACTCAACCAAGGTTTTTCTGGCTGCCACTGGCCTGCGATGAGGGTGAGGGGTGGCAATATGGACGTAATTAAACCAAGGCTGGGTGGGGCAGGCAGACCTGAGAAGACTGGCTGGCATGTAAGAAGTCCTTGAAGGGCACTGTGGGAACAAACCAGAAAGGAGGGAAGTCGGACTAACTGTGTTGGCAGATGGAGAGGCAGGAGGACGAGCTGGCTCAGGGAGGCCAGAGCAGAGCCCTCAGCAGGTGCCATGGGTGCACCCGAGAAGCAGCCACGACCAGAGGCTGGGAGGCTGGAAACAGCAGAGTGTTGCTGAGGAGAAACGTTAGTTTTAACCAAAGACAGATTCCAGTGTCCTCTGGGGCAATGTGATTGGTCACACAGCTGAAATGGAAACTGGAAACAAGGAAAGAAAGTGGGGCCCCCACATCTTGTCAGGGGCAGTAGAAAGAGGGAAGCCCAGCACCGCGCCAAGGGGTGGGACGGGGGAAAAGCTGGGCCCAGGGACAGGGGGTGACAAAGCAGTGGCACAGAGGGAGGGCCACTTCTTCCAGCCATGTGACTGTGGGAAAGGGACAGGAGGGGACAGCACAGAGCCAGGGCCTTGCTCCGTTCCCACCCTCGCCTTGGGGAGTTGCGTGCTGCAGGCAAGGGCCCGAGCTCGGGGGCAGGGCTCACCATAGACAGGTAGCACAGATGCTGGCAGATCTGACACCTCCTCTCTGAGGTCTCCAACTGCAGCCACTTTCGAGGCTTTTTCTTCCCATCCGCCACGGTGCTGCTGCCATCGTGGCTGCCATAGCGGGCAGAGGAGTGGAGGCCGGCCTCGAACAGCTGCCGCCGCTGCCGCAGCTCCGTATCCCTGGGCAGACACCGCGGGGGGCGGCTGTGAGGTGCCGGGCCTCCTCACTCACCTTCCCAAGGTCCCAGCTGGGGACCCATCTTTCTAGGCAAAACGTCAGACCCCTTGTTTCTAAGGCAGCTCTGGTTACTGGCCTCTGCCTGTGGTTAATGGGGTGGAGCCCCAGGACCCACGGCAAAGACAAGTTAGCATTCCATCGGGGCGCCCTGCACCCCGAGCCAGGGATGGACTGACACACTGTCTGCCGGTATCGTCAAAGGCTCAACCGACACTGTGGACATCCTGTCCCTCAGCACTGTGGACTCTCCCTAGAGGAAAGATCATGAAGCCACATGGCAGGGAGAAGGGGGTGACACAGGAAGCCGAGCCAGACAGGCATGCTGCAGTTTCTGATGCACAGCTTCCACCATTAGGCGGGCTCCTCTGACCACCACAGGATCAAAGCCAGGGGAGGGCCTTGGACTTGGGCCTTGGACTTGGGGATGGGCCGGCTCCATGCAGGTGCCACATCTGCTGTAGCTGATGCCAGCTGCACGGCGGTGTCACACACACACACCACAAGCAGGTTTTGCAAGAAAACAAGTGGTGACACAGTGAGACCTCTCCAAAACAACTAGGTGCAGGCAGTGACTTGAGGCTGCAGGTCACCATTTCCTCACTGGTGAGAAGCTGCCAAGATCAGTGGTGCTACAGGGTCAAGAGCCCTCAAAGAGAATTAACCTTTTGCATCAGCACATGAGAAAATTCTGACTCCAAACATCAAGCACGAAGAGAGATGGGGAAGTTAATTAACAAAGTAAAACAAACTACACCCAAAAAGTCTTCCTCCATGTGGCTAAGCACCAGGTGGGCCGTGCAGCTCTGAGCAGTGGCCAGCGAGATCCTACAGGGGACCAGCCTTCGCCTGCAGCTCCCGGCCTGGCCCTCTCCCCCCGAAGCCTGGAGGGGGCAGGTCCCGGCCTCCGCCTGGAACCAGCGCCCATGTACCTGAGCTCGTCCAGAAGGGCTGAGATGGTGCTGAGAGTGGGACCGTTCTCCTTCTTGGCTTCCGCCTGGGCGATCTGGTAGAGTAACTTCTCCATGGAGAATGGCTTAGCTATATGGCGACGCTTCATTTCCTGCAAGAGGGGGGCACATCCTTGAGGGTGGATTTCCATCAGAGGCCAAGGCTTTGCTTTATTGGGGAGGGGGTACCCTGAATTTTCAGTTTGAATTCCATCTGGATTCAAAGCAAGCGAAACTCCTACAAAGATCCTGTTCGCCTGTGAGAAAGGCACCAGACACCAGGGAAAGGCATCACTCGGCAATGCCAGCCACAAGGGAGGTGCCACGACCTAAAAGCGGGTTGTGATTTTCTCTGCATTTCCAGTGTTTGCTTTCAGCACCCTCGGTACAGTCATCTGAACACTGCAGTGGCTCAAGAGTGGAACTCAGACACTTTCACGACACAAACAAACCTCGACAACTCTCTTGACCTAGAAACACCTCAGGCGCCTCGTAAAGGTTTTAAGACATATTCTGAAGTGAAACAGTGCACGTGCAAGGCCCTGTGCATTCATGTGCACTCACACATGCACTGCGGGGGCGGTGCAGACGGGCTCCCAGGCTCACCTTGGCAGTCTCAAAGCCCATGCTTGTCCACTGCGTGGTGGCAAAGTGCACGGTCTCAGAGACGCTGTAGCCGCAGCACACTTTGGACACAAAGGATCCCGGGAAGCAGACAACGAACTGGCCGCTCTGCTGCACGGTCCTGTGCACCTTGATCCCCTCTTTGCACAGCACCTCCGGGGAGATCTGGGGAGAGAGGCTTGGGCTGAGGCGCACCCCCACACAGCTGTACTCTCGGCCTTTCTCCTGCTCACTCTCCAGTTTCCTATGCCCCACCTGCCACAGTGACCCCTTCTGTGCAGTTCTGAGAACCAGCCTCCCTCCCAGCAGGGGAGTTAACCTGACACCTGTCACCGAGGTGGGGTAAAGACTTAAGAAGGGGCCAGCTCCCAAGGAGATAGATTATGTGTTTTATTGAAGATTTTTTGGTGTCTCTTCTAGAAAAACAAAGATAGATAATTCCTAAAAAAAGAAGGAATTCCTAAATTGACACTGGCCCAAGAATGACAACAGCCGTCACACTACATGGGGGCCTCCTCTCCCCACCTAGCACTGCCAGTGTGGGAATAGGATGAAGTCACACACCTCCTGGGGAGCTCCTGGGCTGTCTCCAGAGCCAGGTGGAGCCGTATGGGTGCAGGCGGGGGGCCTTAGACCTGGCACCTCTGGATGGGCTGCTGCTCACCTTCTGAGCAGACCAGGTGGCCCAGCAAAGACAGAAGACCCAGAGAGGAGTCAGCAGAGGCCAGGGAAACCCTGACCTCAGGCATCGGAGCACAGCTCAAGGCTAAAAAGACGCCCAGGAACACAACAGCCCCGTGACTTTCTGAAAATGGGGCCTTTTGTGCTCATTCCTGTAATGTTGAGTGTTCCTGATGCACACAGCCGAGGCATCCAGGTGCCCAGCAGAAACAGCAGGCACCAAAGAGGGCCCCAGAGCAGCCCCCTCACAGCACACTCTGCCTCCATCAACAAAACAATCGGCCTGAGAACAGATTCAGGGGCCACCATGGGCATGAGCCCCAACGTCCTGTGCCATCTGAGGGACACGCTGCTTTAGGCTGGTTTTCATACAAGAGGACGTTTCAGTTTGGAGGACTGACCCTGTGGTATTCTCTGCCTCAGAGAGGCAGGTCGGCAAAGACGGCAGCTGTATAAACAACTCTGAGTCAGGCCACTATTCCTGCACCTCCCTGCCCATCACGACCCCAGGGGGCTGCACCCAGGCAGGGAGCCGCACCATGACGTTGCTCTCCAGCATCTGCAGCCCTGGGGTACCGTTGGCCTGCAGCAGGGTGTGGACCACGTCCTCCAGCTTGCTCTCCTCCTCAGCAGGAATGCAATACCTGGGTGTTGGAAATAAGGGCAGAAGCAGTCACTCGACAAGGACCCTCTGCCAGGCAAGCGCGTGCTAGGCCCACCCGCCAGCCTCCCTCAGAGAACGAGCCAACACGGGCCTGGAAAGCAGCCTCAAGCGGCAGGAGAGGAGCACTTTAAACGCAGGAGGAGGGACCCATTCCTGGGACCCAATGGGCATGCTTGCTCGGTGATGGCACCGTGGTTCCCAGGCCCGCGCCCACTCCACTTTCTAGGGCTGCAGTGCTTCTGCCAACACAGCCAACCCGCAGCTACAGCAGCGGGCGGACGCACTCATTTCTTACGTAGATCTGACCTATATGTAAGCCAAAAAGCCTTCAAACCAAAAACAGATGTTTAAAACCTCTTATAAATAAGACCCAGACACATCTGCAGACTCAATTAGCCCCTCGTGAGAGCTCCAAAGCGGCGTCTTGTCACTGTAGCAGAAGCTGCAGGACTGGGATGAGGAGCTGGAAAACACAGGTCCCTTGGCCCTCCAGCCTAGCCTAGCCCACCTCTGCGCCCGAGGTCGCACGGACAGCTAGGGGCTGTAGTGGCCAGGAAAAGTAAAAGAACCCCTCAGTTCTTCAAATTCAGAGAAGTCAGGAAAAGAGTCCAGTCTGTGTACCCGCTGCCTCACAGCCAACACTCAGGGTGACACTGTAGCCACTGTGAAATTTCGAAATGGGGGGAGGGCACAACCAGGGGACACGGCCATGCCCCTCACTGAGGCAGCTGTGTGTGCCAAACCCAGCCAGCCGGGTCTCAGGCATGGCCAGCTAGACACAGGAGAGCCAGCACCGGAAAGGCCTGCGTCAGGCAAATGGAGGCGCTGAAGGTGGGTTGAGCCAAGGATGTAGCGGCGGGAGAGGGGCTCAGCCAGCACAGACCCCTCTAGCTGGAGCTCAGCAGCCAGCAGGGAAGAACAGCGGGAGAACAGGGCAAAGATGTAGGCAGAACTTAGCTGAGAGAGGAATGCAGAACCTCACTGCATCATGAGGCGTGGGGGACTGTCACTGGCTCTCAGGAGCACCTACTAGGGCCACACTTGCCACCTACGGCACATGACAGCCTCGTCCAGGCAGTCAGCAGACACAAGGCAGATGTGTGAGGCCTCCTCAAAGGTCCCCATGTCTCTCCAGGGCTGGGCGGGGGGAGGTGGCCCTCCTCACCCATGGGTGACCCCTGCAGAGTGGACGCCTGGGCCAGGTAACATCAGAGCAGGGCCTGGCCTGCATTCCCAGAGACAAAGGACTTTAGGCTGCCAACGCAAATGAAGCCACTGACCACCAGTAAAACTCAGAGCAGCAACAGTAACTCTGGAGGGGGTCGTGACCCCGGCACCTCACTGGTCGCCCCAGGAGCCAGGAGTCCTGACCCTCCACAGGCCTGCGCAGAGGCGGCGTGATGCATCTCCACATGGGGGCCACATCCCCATCTCAGTTGCTGAGCAAAGGGAATGCCAATCACCACATTCAAGGTTTTTTGCTAAATGCTTATGTTATTTCAATGCCAACATATTCTGTTTCTGATTTGTGATTTAAATCCAGGGTTTCTAACCTAAATCACATGTTTTAAGAAAAACCACACACCATAAAGTTCTCTGATCATATCCGGCCTTCTCTTTACTCCCCATCAATGAGGTTCCAAGAATTAGTCTTCAAAGAGCCCACAGAATCTCACATTTCCCTCCCTCTAACTCAACGGTCAAGCAACAAAACCATTCTTTCACCACAAACCCCTCACACACCACAGTCAGGTGAAGAAACCAGGGCTCAGAGGGGCAGGGTGGGAGTTCAGGACTCCCACAGGGACGGGTGGTTAGGGCTCAGCGGTTCCCGGAGGAGCAGCCGCTACCATCCTGGAAGCATCCAGCTATCCTCTCTCAGCATCCTCTGCCCGAAAACCACTGTCCCTCTCAGGTTCCAGAGCCCTGCAGCCCCGCACAGTCTCACCACCAAAGACCAACCACAGGGCACCAAGGACCACCGGCCTCCACATGGAGGCTCCCCACTGGGGTCCTGCAGGCACCACCCTGCGTCAGCAATGACTGCCACTCACTATGATGTGGCCTGAAAGCAAGGAAGTCACAATGACAAGACTGCTACAGACACTGTAGCACTGCTCCTTGAGGGGAGGGCATTAGTCCTAAGAATTTGTTCATTTTAATAAAGAATGCCTAATCACCCCATCAGGACAATAACCAGAGTTGGTGTGGGGTGAATGCGAGGCCTCTAGACTGTCAGACAACAAGATATCACATTATTTGTAGTAATTTCCCATCTGCCACCAAAAACAAAGGAACCAGAGAGCCAGCCCCGGGTCAGGACTGGGGAGAGGTGACAGTTAAGGAGCACGGGTGGCTGCTTCCCACGAAACAGAGGAATGTGAGCAGGAGAACAACATGTGCGTCTCATACAGCAGGACCTCCACGTGCCAGGAACGCCTGCTCTCTCTGTAGCCGTCCCTGGACTGTAACACTGACTGCAGAGATGGACAATAACCACTGCCGGGAGGTCAGGGCAAGAACGGTTCATACAGCGCTAGGAGAAGGCCAGTGACACGGTCACCGTTTCTGTCAACTTTCTATGATATGCCTACTGGTTCTTATCCCTAATATGGAACAAACTCTCAGAAAGCAACACCAAAAAAGAACACCCCAGAAGAAAACACAAATGTGCCAATAAGCACATGAAAAGATGCTCAACCTTGCTCATCATCTGAGCAAATTAAAGTGTTCTCTCCCACCTCCAACACATGGAACATGGGACAAACCCACAAAAGCTGCCACCCCAGAGTGAGTAAGAGGAGCTGCCCGGCGCTTGCCCTGCCTCTTCGCTCCCACGGCCACCCCGAGCCCCGGGGGCCGGTACTCACCAAATGCAGTCAGCACCAGTGTGTAAGTAGTCAATGTAGGGAAGGTGGTTTTGGTCTCGAGACCAGCATGAGGTAGAAAAGACCATGCCAATATTTAGCCAGGGAATTGTCACTCCTGAAACATAAAGGGAGAACAGGCATCGTGAGGACGCAGCATCTTCTCAGGGGAACACTCATTAGAAATCGCTTTCCTGTCCCCAAAGAAGAAATAAAAATGAGATTCAAAAACACACAAAACCCAGTGAGAAGAAGGTGCTTGCTCTCTCCTGCTTGCTATACAGAAATGAGCCAGGTGATGGACACAGTTATAAACAGTAGTAAAAGGACATCTGAAGTCATGAGTACAGTGCAGGAGCACAAACCCTCTTTGGTGGGAGAGGCCTGGAATAATGCCTCCCACCAAGGTGTGGAGGGCCCAGGCCCCCTCCCGCAGGGGCCCAGCCTTCAGGGACCACTACTCCCCAATTATCTGCGAAGAGTCCATCACTTAGAGCTTGCAGTTACCCTAAGAAGCCAGGACTTGAGCTCTGAAAATATCAGTATCAAGGTGAAAACTTGGCTACTGTGCGTCTGCCCAGCTTCTAGATTCTGCAATTTGGCTCAACCTCTCCCTATTTTTGCTGACTTCAATTATGATCCCATTCCTCTCTCTTTCCTAAAAAATTAAGGTTTTCAAAACATATACTCTATACCAAAATTGCCCCGGCCCTTCCCAGCTGTGCTTCAAAGGAACTCCCAGCTCTAGTTCCCAGCGGGGTGGAGCTCATCTACAAGCTGCCCAAGGCAGAGGCCTTGGGACCCCAAGGACAGCGGCTGCATCAGGCTTACCAGGCACAGCACCGAGGTGACGCAGGATGGACCCTGTGTTATTGGGGAGGACGGTGAGGTTCCATCCATGCCTGCAGAGGGAAGCAGAGAGACGTCACACACTGGCAGGACGGGTGCTGTCTAGTCCCCAGAACAAGGACAAGAGCATACAACGTTACCTTGAAAATGGTTCTGATTTTCCCACTGGGAATCCACTGCCGTGAGTGTTGGTGTCCACTTTGCCGCAGTGCACTGCCACGTGGCAGTCCTTCTCTTCCACTAACCTCCAGTACTCTTGCTGTGGGCAGGAGGAAAGGGCTAGTCAGCACCCCCACTGTGTTTGAGCCAGAACACAGTTCTGCCTAACATGGTGACACTAATGCGAGACAAAGGAGCCCATCCCAGAGCAGCTGCCCAGTGCCTCCAACAGAGCACTGAGCAAGAAAGCCAGGAGCAGATCACCTCTGGGGGTGGACCCAACAGAAATAAAAGCAGGGATTCCAACAGATACTTGCACAGCCACGTTCACAGCAGCAGTCTTCATAACAGCTAAAACATGGATCAACCCATGTCCATGGATGAATGAATGGAAACAGAAAAAGGGGACGGTCACAGCAGAATATTATTCAGCCTTTAAAAAGGAATGTAATTCTGACACATGCTGCATACAACCTGGGGGACATACAACCTTGAGGACATTACATTAAGAGAAATAAGCCAGTCACAAAAAAATAAACACTGTAGGATTCTGCCTATATGAGGTATTTAGGATTGTCAAAGTCACAGAGAGGAAGAAAAATGATGGTTGTCATGGGCTGTGGGGAGGGAGGATGGGGAGTTAGTATTTAATGGATACAGAGTTTGGGAAGATGAACAAGTTCGGGAAATGGATGGTGGTGATGGTTGTACAACAATGTGAATACACTTAATACTACTCAACTGGAGAACTAAAAATTGTTAATATGGTAAACTTTATAAGTATTTTACAATAAAAAAAAAAAATCACTTCTATGAAAGGGGGTGGGGGAAGCAACAACAGGAAGACCGCTGAAGATATCCCACTGTGATCCACAGATTATAGTAAGTAACAGCTGCCCCGTTTAGCATCTCGGCAGACATGCCTCCATACCTCCAGTAGCCAGCAGTCCTGACTTCTACGCAGGGGCCTCCCCCTGGCTGCATGTTAGGGTTGTCCATGGAGTGAAGACTACGTACACACAGGTTGTGACCCAAGCCATGTAAACCAGAGGACAGCTGCGGTGAGGGCACTGGCTGGTTTAAAAGCTTACCAGGTGACCTTAATGAGTCCTATCTAAACAAAGATGGGGCAAAGCCTGGAGTGGGAAGGCGTGTTGCTAACAGGGAAGCAGGCATGCTCGGCTCCCTGGGAGGCACCTCTCCCACCTCACGGGCACATTTTCATTTTGTTTTCAGTTACCATTCCAGAAGCATATCATCTGCCTGAATCTGGGCAAACCCTACGACCTGGAACCACATGTAAGGGACGAAGCCTAACCAATAAGCACCCGGTGTCACCAAGTACAACTCAGCTCAAAGAAGTGCTGCTGGCAGCGCCACCACACTGTGCAACGTCCACAAAGAGGAACCAGCCTGGAGGTGTCAAAGGGTGCCAAGTCAAGAACGAAGTCCACGTCACCACATGCCTGGATTCCCTCATAGATTTCCTTTAAGCAATGAAGCAATGGTCTGTTTGAAGGGAGTGGTCTGCGTCCCGGCCCTGCCACCCATTCACTAGACTGACAGAACCTCTGGTAGATTAATAGAGACATAGGGGGCGGGAGAGGACCCACCGCTAAGTGAGGGCCATTCCAGTCGCTGACCACCGGCCCAGAGGAAGGCCCCGCCTTTTTTGTGGAACCCAGAAGCCAGAAAGACTCAGACTCAAGAAGTGGATTGTAGTGAATCTTCCCTTTGTGTTTAAGTATTATGCAAATGCTAGAGCAAAAGCAGGACTTCCAAGGAGAACTAATTCCTGAGCAGGAGAGTAAGGAAGCTAGGCTTTCTCTACACCATGGACAGCAACGAACCCTACACCATAGGGAGAACCGCGTAAGTACCGACACTGGACGACAAAGGCCTCTTTTTCTAAGAGTCACGTTCCTTCCTGCTGACATCTCTACCACAAATGCCATGAGCACTTGGAAAGCAACTGTGACGGCCACACATGTCGCAGAATCAGGGCCCAGCTGACATCATGGTTGATGGAATGCAGCTTTAGCAGGGCCAAAGCTGGGGGAAGGAGTGGGGGTCACGACACGATGTGGTGTTCAAAGCTCACACCCGGGTACAGAGCTGGGGCAGCCTGTGCAAATCAGCAGAGACCTAAGGCCTAAAAGAGATGCGAACAGTGCCAGCAGCAAATACTGACTTCACCAAACTAGGAAACCAGGCCTCAGCACCGGGCGGGACCTCCTGGGCTTCTGACCATTTCTATCAGAGGCGTGGCACCACAGAGCACAACTGTAGGTGACCAGGCATCCTAGTTTGACCTGGACTGTCCTGGGACTGTCCTCAAAGTCCCACTCCCAGGACACCTGGTCAAAGCAGGATGGCTGGGCCCCCTAGTGGTCAGCATGGGTTTTATCTAGAAGAGGTGGCATATATCATGGAAGAAAACATTTTTAAAAAGTGGTCTGAAGCTTGTTACCCATCAAAAGATCAGGCTGCAGTCCACACAACCGCCTGCTGCCGCCAGCAGCTGCCCTTAACCAGCGGTCCAAGTTCAGCGGCTCTCCCTGACAGGACCAAGTGCTGCCGAGGGCCCACCCACCCCAGCATCTGGACGTCCACCCTGACCCAGCCGGGCCTTGGCTGAGGGGCGGTAAACAAACAGATCCGGTCTCTGCCCTATAGCGCCTCACAGCGAATCCCCCTAATTGGTCTGGGCACAGAAGTGCTCACTGTCTGTCTGACCTCGTCCTAACTCAAAGAGCAGAGTTGGCAGGCACACAAAAATGGCAACCTGCCAATCCCATTAAATAAAAATAGGAGAGAAGAAAAAGCACAACGGTGGTTTCAAGGGATTCCAAACATTCTCTTGCATAACAGACACATGGAGGATGGGGGAAGCGGCCGGCTGGGAGGGGGAGAGGGAGGGGGCAGCCGGGAGCTCACCCCCAGGACTCGGTCTCACGGCCTCAGGGTTGGGGTCCTTTGGGGCGAAGGAGGGAGGCTCACGCTTCTCATTATTTCTTTTTCGGCTTGGAACACACTTGGATTAATGTAACACTTCTGGCTGCCCCCGGCACACAAACACGGAGCCAGCCACTCATCTCAGCACAGCAGGCCCAGGAGGGCAGGGGAGGCTGCGACACGCAGGATGGGGGCCAGGGTTAGCTTCACTCACCTCAATTTCAGCTGGTGCAGGCTCCTTGCTGAAGCACATGTTCATGATATTTCTTGCTGTTCGATAAAAAGTCGTTAAAGAAACAGACCTTCCCTGAAAACAAAACAGAACAGAAGAGTAAACCTTAAGAAACAAAGCTGATTCCTCACCCCAGATCAGGCCACACCTATCATGGGCCTCTGCTGTTGCTGCCCCGTGATTAGGGGCTGCTCTGTGTCCCAAACTAATATGAGCAAAGAAGACAGAAAAATATGCTCTCAGAAGGATCCTGCAGGCCGACAAAAGGAGATGGAGGACCGGCCACAGCACAGGAGCAACTGCACCATCCTCCGGCAGAACCAGGGCTGTCCCAGGCAGCTTCCAGCAGACACATGGGGGAGGCCAGAAGGACACCGCTGAGATCTTCTGTGTAAGAAAGCGTCGGACTTTCACTTTATGGAGAAGTGGGTACAATGAGGGAAAAGGGGCAGAATTCCGCAGTTTGCCCCATGTAAAGGATAGGATTAAGGTTGTGGGCCAGCAAAGAAACAAGGGAATCAGGACTCTGAAAGGCTGGCCCTTATGACCAGGAACCCCAGGGCAAGAAGCCAGGAGGACCCTGCAGGACAGAAACCGAGGGTGACGACTTCTACACCCTGAGGAGCCTTGACATGTGGAACCTGCCAGATGAGCAACGGAACCTCTTGGCTCTACGAAGACAGGTGACCTGGTCACTCTCTTGCCACAGAAGCCACTCGCTGTCCCACTTGCAGCTTCTCAGGGAGGGCACCGAGCGCCTCTGATGTCTGATATACGTTGCCCTTTCCAAGTAATAATCGAAATGATCTGCCCACGTGGATAAAAGAGCTCACTGTGTTAGTCTGGGCACCCCAGTTTGGTCCTGGTGTTACCTGTCATACAGAATATGTTCTATTTTACAGAGATGAGCCATCTAAGATACATGCCTCTCCCTCTTTCGTGACCAGGCACACACTGACCCCATGATTGCAGAATCATTTACTGAGCACCTACTGTATACTAGGCTGAGTGCTAGGGACTGGAGACAGAGCAGTACTCAAAACCGACATCTCTGAGCTTGTGTGGTTCACCTTCTGCCTGGAGGGCACAGCCCTTAAACATAAGTACAACGGTGAGGTGGCGCTAAGTGCCAGAGCCAGAAGCAGAGTGACAGGAGTGGCAGGGGACGGTGGCTTTTACCTGAGGTGGTGAGGGAAGGTTTCCCTAATGAGGTGACCCCGGAGCATCCCCAGAATAAGTAACAGGTCTAGAACGGGGGCAGAGTCTTCTTGCCCTTGGAAGGACACTCGAAGCAGTAGGCATGAAGAGGCTGGATTTATTTTGCTGTCCAGCTTTGTAAGTGACTGTGTGGGGTTCAAACTAAAAGAAAATACTTCTGTTCAATTCCAAACTTCTCCCAACATTCTCTTCATTACGAAATAAAAACCTAACTACTAGGAGGGACCTAATTTTGCACTAAGGCAGAGTGCCCCCAATTGGAGAAGGTAACAAACACCAAGGCTGTAGAGGGACCTTGAGAATCATGAGCTTCCAGCCTCCCAGTATGCACACAGCTGCCACTATGGCCAACAGACCACTGCCACAGCCAAGCTCTGTTAGATTGTTGTGATGAAATCTAAAAATACCCTTTACAAAGCATGTTAAAAAAAAAACCTTTTACTCAGATCCAACTCATTCTCATATAATTGGCCCTCTTAAATAAAAAGTAACCAAAACAGAAAACATCTCATGAGGTGGCTATTCAGAGTTACAAGATTCAACAAGTGGGCTTCTCAGGTGAACATTCAGGAATCACGCCCAGAAAGTGCTCCTGAGTTTACAGTCCATGGGCCACCTTCTCCTTTTCCATAAAATGTTCAAAACGTGAAATACAAGGAGGCCATCAGCAGGCCGCAAGTAGCCATTCCCCACCCCCACCGTCTGCAAGGGAGCACTGGACAATGACAATGGGACACCAAACCCTCTACAGGTCTAGTAATAGAAAAAGTAGTAGGCAAGCAGGGTGTCTCCTACCAGAAAAGGGTGCAAGGGCTAAAATAAAGCAGGAAAATCAGAAGAGTGGCAGAGGGTGTATCTTCCAAGCTTGGAGTGAGAAAGGAAAGAGGCAGGACTCAGAGAAGAGTCACAGGCTTCCTTCAGGTCATGGACAGGCCCAGACATGCCCACAGGTGGCAATGGGAGCCTGGGGGTGTGGGTGGGGCACAGTGATAACCCACAGCAGATTTCCAAAAAGCAGAAACCCACCATCCCCTCAAACCCAAGTGCCAGGCTCCGCGGGGAATGGGGGCATGCGGCTGGGCGAGGGCCACCAGGACCTCTCCAGAGCACACTTCCCTCTTGGCGCATCCAGAACTGGGTCACCGGGGGCAAGCCTGTGCCCCCTCAAAGCCTGGTCAATTCAGCCTCTAGAGGAGGTCGCAGCTGGGCTCTGCCACCGGTGCTCCAGTGCCCGGCTCCCGCTGGCAGGCAGGCAGAGGAGGTGGCCTGAGCCTTGCTTTAGAACCAGCCCCGCAGGCAGCTGCAGTCTCTGTGGCAAAGCCCTGGCAGGCGGGGTGCGGGCGGCAGGCAGAGAGTCCCAGCACCTCGGTCTGCTTCCTGGAGGAGCAGTCTTGTCAGGAGGGGTGCTGCTGCAACAAGACTTGGCAGAGGCATGGAAAACACTGTGCATGCCTCAGTCTGCAGGCTGGCTCGCTCCCGCCTCCTCCCCGGCAGCAGGTTCCCGGGTAGATGCGTGTTGATCGCTTTATCAGGGCCTACTCTCCGCAGGAGAGACCTGGCAAAGGTGGCTGGAGCTGGGCGGCAAGCTGTGCAGAATATTAATAAGGAGGCAAACAAAAGGAGTGCTCCAAGCCATGGAGGGTCTGGGGCAGTGTCTGAGAACCGCAAGACCTGACAGGGTAGCTCCCACCTGCCAGAATGAGATGGGGTGTTCCGATGGGCAGACTTGGAATTGTGGATGTAGGAGAAACTACATGTGCATCCTCAGTACTGCGTCCCAGGCATGTGGGCGTGGGCACATGGGCACGTGTGCACACACACAGCTCCTTTCACGCAAAGGAAACCCAAGGTCCAGAGCAGCCAAGCAAATCAGCCAGCACTCATGGCTGGCAAGGGGCAGTCAGGGCTGGCCACAGCTGGCCAGATGCCCCGAGGCCTGTGTCCTGACCACCCAGCCTCCCTGGAAGACCGCAGACGTTTCTCTTTATGGCCAACACTTCCCAGAGGAAGCTGTCTGGTGGCTGTAGGACGGCCAGAGCCCATCACTGCAGCCAGACCCCTCAACTCCATCAGGCCCCTGAGGACCTCACTCAGGCCATTCCCTGCCCTCTGCAGAGGACCCCTACCTTATATATACATTTGTGGAAGTCACTGAGGACGCCTTTGTCCTCCTCCTCCTCCTTCACCACTTCCTTTTCCTGAGCAAAGAGTCGCCGCCGGCCCGTCTTGAGCTGGGCCTGGCCCACCTCTTTGAGCTTGCTGCGGAAGCCGTTCCTGTGTGCCACGCCATTGATGAGCCCGTTCTTGGGTTCAAAGCGGGGCAGGGGGTGGAACTTGTTGTAGTCGTGCTCCGTGTGGCCCTCCAGGGGCCCCTTCCGCTTCTCCAGGATCTCCTTCTCCATCAGCACCTCCTTCTCTAGCCGCCGGTGCTCCTCGGGGGACAGGGAGTCGTAGGAGAGCAGGTACTGGCAGTAGGCCTCCTGGAGCTTGGCCAGCCGGTCCTGGGCAGTTTTGGGGATGCGCAGCATGTCTGCTAGTTTGTTCCATTTTTTGAGGTCAGTCACTTGCTGCATGCCGCCCATCTCGTTAATCAGCCGGAAAAAGCAGGCCAGGTCGAGCTCACAGCCTCCTGGGATGGTGAGGGGAGAAAACAAGGACAGTGGGTAAAAAGGATCATGAACAAGACCTTCTTCATTCAACCCACAGGCCACAGGCACCCACCATGTGTCATGGACACTGCTGAGCTCTTGGGTCAGAGCAGCAAAGAGAATCATTCTTGGCCCTCAGGAAGCCTAGTCTCTGAAGAGACAGACTTCAGACAATCTTGGATGCCATGGACATAAACAAAACAGACGAAGAGCTGGAGAGGAACAGGGGCCACCACCTTAGGTGGGATGGTCAGGGAATTGTGTCCCCAAGCACGTAGCATTGAAGCAGAGGCCTGAATGGAAGAAGAGAGCTGGCTGTGTAGATCTGCAGGGAGAAACATTCCAGTGTCCGCTGGAGCAGAGGCAGTGTGTACGTGCTGGCACACACCCTTCTCACACACCAGGAGCAGGTGTGATGAGACAAAGAGCAGGGTCCCATCCCTGGTGAGGGGTGGGCAGGGCCTGGGTTGTGCTACCCGGCCATACTCACGTCCCAGCAACACCTAGAACAGCTGTGATGTCAGCAATCATACACAAACAGCACATGCTGTCAGTCCCAACTCCCTTCCAAACCCCCCCGCACACTTGGTAACACACACAGCAACTCATTTTCGTTTGTTTGTTTTTGAGTTTTTTGGGGGTTTTTTTGAGGAAGATTAGCCCTGAGCCAACTACTGCCAATCCTCCTCCTTTTCCCGAGGAAGACCAGCCCTGAGCCAATATCCATGCCCATCTTCCTCTACTTTATATGTGGGATGCCTACCACAGCATGGCTTTTGCCAAGTGGTGCCATGTCCGCACCTGGGATCCAAACCAGCGAACCCCAGGCCGCCGAGAAGTGAAACGTGCAAACTTAACCGTTTTACCACCAGGCCGGCTCAACAACAACTTATTTTCAATCCCACTGGATTTCCACAGTGAAAGGCAATATTTGCATGAGAGCACACGGCTGTCTGTCTGTCCCTCAACTCCTTCCATCGCCCATTCACAGGGACTGCTACCCCAAAAGGATGTTTAGGCTAGTTCACATAGCATCCTTGATCAAGTTATAGAATTGAACAAAGGCACATAAACTCAAATACGTTTGAATGTCCTCCCAATGACTTCTAGATGGGACTGGAAAAGCGATCTCCCCCTGGCCAATAAAGGGGGGGATATCTTCCAAAATCATCAACCATGGGCTCTTAGGAGGAAAACATGCAACAAGACGCTGGGTGAGCAAAGAAAAAGTAAGACAGTGTTAGATCTTTGTGGGTAGAGATATATTTACATCCAAAATAAAAAGGAAAAGTAGCAGGACTCCCATCAGACTCTAATGGCCACCTGAGAGCAGCACCACCATGCAGGGCCAGCTGGCACTGCAGGACTGCCGGGTGAGTTCCTGGACCACCTCGGCTGGCTGTGCAAGAGCAAGTCCCTAGACCCTCAGTAAGACCAGGGATGTGCGTGTGGCAGCCTGAATTCCAGTTACTCTACTTGGTGGGAGGCTGGATTTGGTTGGTTGTGGCCAACAGAGCAACATCACTGAGGACACCTGCCCCGACCTCAGCCAGGAGGGACCTAAGGGCCGCACATTCTCTGACTCCCTCTAGGTCTCTGGCTCTGAGCCGGGAGATGTTCCGGGGCTGGTGGCACTCTGCCTGCACTTGTAGACGTGGAGAGCAGAGTGAATCACACCAACCAGGCCACAGCTGCTCAGATCACAGGTCTCACTAGAAGGGAGGTAGTCTATACTTTTGTCTTTTTCTCTAAGTCGATCATTACAATCCAACAGCACTTACAAATTTACAGTTGCAGCAAATCCATTGTTTCACAGCTCCTCACCTGCCATGATCAGCCCATTCACAGGGCCACCAGGCTGCTAAGTGGCAAAGCGCCTCCCTCACCTTAGTCTGTGCTTGCTCCACTCCCCCAGGGGCTGGGGTACCCATCTACGTCGGCAAACGCAGACGGAGCATCCGTTTTGGTGGGTTCTGGGAAACTGCTTCAAAATTACTAAGTCCCTTGTGCCTCAAGATGGCTGAGTTCAGACCCACGGCCTGAGGCCTCTATGGGTAAGAGGCCAGGTCAGCACCCCTTCTACGAGCTGTGATGAGGCTTCACATTTCCAGACAATGGCAGAGAGTGCGAACACATACATGACAGCAACACATCCGCGTGCCTTCTGGGGCTACAGGAACGAGCCACGGTTAAGAAAAGCTACTCTAAGAAACGGTGGCTGGCTGTCATCATGACGTCACCTGAGTATCCCACCTGTCTCTAAAAGGTTTCCCCCAACCCCAGCAGGATGGAGGGACTCAGGACCTCTCACTGCAGCCAGGAGGATTTGGGGGCTGTTCTGAGTCACCCAGCGGTCCAGGTAAGCACAGGGTGAAGCCAGCACCAAACTGAGATGCTCTCAACTGCTCAACCTGTTCCCGCAGCCCCATGTTACCGTCTATCACGAGCCATCCCTGAGAGCAGGCCACAAACCAAGAGTTCTTTCAAATAAAGTGATTCACACTCAGGCACTAGCCCTGACAGGCACCTGCTGAGAGAAATAATGAAACCTCCATCTTACGAGGAACCCTATCTTACTGCCAACTCTTGACACTTAAATGATGGTTAAACATCTCCTTTCCTCCTGCCTTTGAAAACTCAGGATCTCCACAATGGAGGCAGGAAGACAGGCCGCTTCCTCTCGTGGGTCTAGAGCTGAAGGGAAGTGTGTGAGCTTACCTGGCTGTCCCAAAAGGAAACCCTGCTCTGCAGAACCCACTCGTGCCTGACAGAGTGAGTTAATCCTAGAAGATCCAGGAAAGGTAGGGAAGGAAAGGGAGCTCCAGGAGGGTCTGTGAGTGCGCTCTGCCTGGGGGCCAAGGGTCTTCACAGTTACCTGGATGGACAGTCACTAGAGGAGTCACTGAGGCAAGCTTGGCAATGCTCCCAGCCAGAGCTGTGCCTGCCCTTGGGACAAACTTAAACACGTTCCCAGACTTGTGGGCTCCACAAGGGCCTGGTTGGTCACCAGGGAAATAGAAACTCAAGTAAGAATGAGGAGTATAGAGAGGTAAAAATCAGACAAAGAATGTGCTGAAATCCACAAGAGCTTATGGGCTGAAATGTGTCCCCCACCAAATACTTACTGCATGTTGAAGTCCCAACCCCCCATGCCTCAGAATGTGACTGTATTTGGAGACAGGGTCTTTAAGCAATTAAGTTGAAAAGAGTGGGTCCTAACCCAATATGACCGGTGTCCTTACAACAAAAGGAAGAGACATCAGAAATGTGTGCACAGAGGCAAGACCACGAGAGGACACAGGGAAAAGAGGGCCGTCTACAGGCCAAGCAGAGAGGCCACAGGAGAAACCACCCTGCCGACACCCACACGCCCCACTGAGACAGGAACTTCCCGCAGGTTAAGCCCCAGCGTGTGGCGCCTGGTTAAGGCAGCCCAGCAGACGAATACAGAGGGCAGAGCTCTGTCTCCCTGGATTCTGCTCTGCCCTGCATGGGGAGGCCGTGCACTGCTGGGCAGCAGGTGCCAGCCAGCTGGGAGAACCCGGGCCCAATAGCACCCCTCCTCTGCCACCAACGCCCAGGACCCGAGAAAAGGGGCTTCAGACTCCTGCTGCACAGCAACTGTGCCCAAGCAGTGGCCCTCCGAGAATGGGGAGGAAGCCCTTACCGATGAGCGGGAGCTCGTCCATGGTGATGCCCTGAGATCTGAGGTGCTTCTTGATGCAGGCCAGCCGCTGCACGTTGGGGCCCCAGCGCCGGCCCAGCTTGTGGATGTGCTGAATCTGCGTGACGAAGCGCATCTCGTCATTGAGCTTGCACTCGGGCCGCCAGTCCGGAGGGGGGATCACCCTGCACATGCCGTACTTCTCCACCTGAGCGCGCACCGACTCGATGTAGACGAGTGGGTCGTGGAACTCCTTGGCCGACGGCCGGAGCACGGGGATCTCGTCCATGGCCGCCCAGCCGGCCCTGCCGCCCCCCTTCTCGGGCCTGGCCGAGGTCTCGTGCGGCTTGTGCAAGGTCTCCGATTGCGAGGTAGAACGATTTTCACAGGAGGCGCCGTCCGGCTTGCCGTGTGCTTGTCTGCCCGGCGTGCTCTTCCCGGCCGTGGCCCGCTTTGGCCGGGTCCGCTCCGCACTGCGCTCGGGCACGTCCTTCTTCCCAGGGCCACTCAGGAGGGCCCTGTCCGCCGGGGCTGGGGCCAGGGCCGGGGCTGCCGCTGCCTTCCTGCTGGGGGCTTCAGCACAGGCAGCCGCCCCTTTCATCTTCTTGGGGGGCGACTGCGGCTTTTCCGCCTGGTGGGCCTCTTCCAGTCTCCTCTTGGAATTCCGCAGCCCCTCCCTCAGCTGCCGCCCCCCCACCTCCTTAGTGCATGACTTTGGGTTCAACCTGCCACTGACCTTGAGGCCATTGACGGCGGGCCCGGTGGACTTGGACGCCCCCCCGAGGGATAGCACCTGTTTGCGGGTTTTTGCATTGCTACTTTCAGTTTTCCCTGAGATTGTGTGGTTGACAGCTGAACTGGGCTTGTGGTGATTGGGTTTGGTTTCCTTGACCAGTTCTCTCTTGGCTTTGGTGTATGTGACAGTCCCCTTCGTCACCGTTGCAGTATACTTCACAGTTTTGGACGGTGAAGGTCTGACTTCGCGCATCTTTTTGGCACTGGTTGCACTTGTACCCAGAGATGACATTCGAGTGACTCCGTTTACCTTAGAAACCTGAGAGGCAGCAGGAGAAGCAGAGGGGGAGAAAGCAGAATTAGTACCTGCCAAGGGGAGCTCCACACGCTGGGAGCTCCACAGAGCCAGCGCCCGCTTCAGAGAGAAGACACGGGGTTACTGCAAGAGCTAACGAGATAGATGCACAGCCATCAACTACACTCCGATATTCAGTTTTAGAATCTCTGTACGACTGTGTGCCTATCCTCCTGCACAAAAACACGCCACCGGACGTGGTGCAGCCCCCTGGGGTTTCCTGAGTGTGTTTTAACATTCATGTTTGTTCCCATGGCTCTTCCAGGAAATCGGATGCTTCACAATGAGGACCACTCCAGGTGCCTGCAAATCACCTGTCTCAGGTTAGTAACACTCACAACAGGAACCTCTCACCCACTGGGGGAAGAGTGGGACACAGACACATACTCACACGTTGATGTCCCTGTTCAAGAAAGGACATGCCTGCTATTCTTTGTGTGCTCCCCATAACAGCATGAACTGCCCACTGAACTTTTAAATATATGTGCTAAAAAAAGAACAAAACAAAAATACCATGGCAAGAAAAGAACACGAGCACTCGTGGTTCAGCTCTGATGCAAGTCAGAGACCAAGCTCAGGTGTCATGGCCGACTGTCGGGATCTTCGACTTCGAGGCTGGACCCCATTTGGCGCCTTGCGGGGAAGTAAGATGGATGTACCTAACCTCATCGCTGAAGCAAACACACCCAACCCTCTCCTGCACAGGTGGTTCCTATTTTCCCAGCCTCAACACTTCCATTTCTGGTTCTACTGGAACTGGGTAAACAGAAGCAGCTTCTCCGCACAGGCCGTCTTATAGCTTGGACGCCACTGTAATTGTGTGACACATAAAAGTCACCCTCATTTATACAGAGAAACCAGAGAGTGACGGGGTGGACACCAGAAATGCATTAACTTGAGAGAACAATGAAGGGTCCACAACAAGAGCTGCTGCTGGGCCAGCTGGTTTGAGGTGGACATCGCATCGCAACTCTGCCTCTCAGAGGCCTTTGACACGGCAGTATCTTGGGTATCAATTTCTCATCTGCAACATCAACTGAAAAACAGGGACTTCAGGGTTCCATAAACACCACCACCTCCAAAAGAGGCAGACTAAAAATTGCAAAATTACTGGGCAACACAGATCAAAACAGGAGCCCTCTTTTCTCACCAAAAACCCCTCAAAAGAAGGTGACAGGGTGGAGGGAGCCTGAGCTCCGGAGTGAGGAAAGGTGAGCAGCCACAGTCATGCAGAAGTGCCTCCCCGCCTCTAGGCTGAGCAGACAGCTGAAGCAGCAGGCTGCTTTTGACACCCAGGGCTCCCACAAGCTGTACAGCTGCCTCACGAGGGCCTGGGTGCCTGGAGGACAGAGCCTGAGTCTCAGTGACCTCTGCACTACGGCCAGGCCCAGCCCAGGAATATACACACTTAGGTTAAGAAGCAAAACACAACAAAAACAAAAATCCAACTTTCCCACGGGTACCCACACCAGTGGCTCTCAACATGCCCTGGAAGGCCTGTCAAAATAGGTCACTGGGCCCACTCCCAGAGCTTTTCACTCAAGTAGGTCTGTGATGGGGCCTGAGAACTTGCATTTCTAACAAGGTCCCAGGGGATGCTGCGGCTGCTGATCCAGAGACACACTTTGAGAAGCTAACTATTAGTAGAAAGTTCTGAAAACAGAAAAAGGAAAGAAGCCACTGACATTGTACTTCTTTATATGTCACCAATTATACACATCTGATCAAAGCCACAAATTCTCTGTATGAGCTTGTGCTCCATCAGCCAACCCCAGGCCACAGTGAATCAGGTTTCAGGTGAGCCAGCCTCGACTTCTGGACTCAGTGAGCTCCCAGGCCCCACAGGAGAGGCTGCAGGGAAGGCCCAAGATTACGGCCTGGATCCTCCACTGCTCGCAGGACTGACAGATCAGGTGGGAAAGAGAGGGGTCTGGAATAAATAATGGGAAATTAAAACGGACAAACAAAAACCCAGCAGCCTGGCAACAATAAATTAAAAACAAATCTTAAAAACCAGAGGTAGGGGCAAAGACAAATTTTCCATAGTAAGTAGCACTAATTCAGAATAGGAGGCATGGTGAGGAATGCAAATATCTCTAATTTTTATTGTTCTTTCAAATGCTTCCACTGACTAAAAACAAACCAAACCATTTGGGAAAAACAAAAGCAAACAGTGAAATCCTGCTGTGGCTCACAGAGAGATTCTTCCATCATCAAGACACTACAGGGGCCTCCAGGAATGCAGTATCTTCAAAGAGGGCGCCACTTCCAGAAAGTAGAAGACACCGCCCCTTGAGGCCTCAATCTTCGGTTAACCATTTAGACTACAATCTGTTCCAACTCTTGACCCAGTTCCCTCTTAAACAGATTTCACAGGACAGTGTCATCTCTTCTTGAAGATGAGGACTCCCCTGTGAAAATGGCAAACGCCCTATGGTGCAGGTCAGCACCATCTCCCACCAACAGACAGTTCAGCAGCTGTCAGCTGTCACCTCCTGCAAAGCTAGTTCATTGCTTCTCAAACCTGGGACCTGAGAATCCCTGGGAGAGCTTGAAAATAACGCCGGATCCACAGTGTAACCCCCTAGATTCTGATCTAATCGGTGAGGGCAGAGAAAGGGGATCAGTGGGCAAGGCCCCAGAAGGCTTAGTGTTCCCAGAGATATTTTGCCCTGCCCTTCCCCAGCATCAGTGCTCACCTGCAGGAGCCTGGGAGGCCAAATTCCACATCTCTCTGATTCTACCTCAAGGAAGAGTGTAAGGCCCTTGGGTCCGTCCATCCTGGCTTCAGGGGGCACCTGACCTCCTGGCTTTCTCTGTGGCAGGGAGGTCAATTTTCTGCATAGTGGAATTCTATGTATTTCACCATCTTCAATGCCAAAAGGATCACTTTCTTGTTTATATATATCTATAATCTTAAATACTGGCTTTCTGCGAGGATGTGCAGCCAACTCACTGCCTCTACCAGAAGAATGAGTTCCTCTATTCCCTTTCTTCCTCACTGTTATACTGTTATCTTCAAAAGCATCCAATGCTTGTCCATCTAACAAGCCCAACGACTAATGTATCCCCCTTGTTACCCGTTAGAACTCTAATTTACAGAGAAATCACAAAGATTGGAAAGGGCACGTTTCACTAACGGTATCCCTTCTTCACTCTGTGTTTTAAGCCTACCCGTAGAGGCCATGATGCAGCTGACAAGCTAAGAGAGGAATTGATCCATCCCACCAGCTGTTCCATGTGTCCTAAAGGTAGGGATGACAAGGAACCAGCAACCCAGGAGGCACCTGTCTAACACAGAGATGCCTATTCCTTGCTCTGTACTTGCCTCTAGGGGTCTAATGCTTAATTGGTTCCAAAGAAAACAAAGGGATCGAGGAAGGCATTGTTTTACCTTGCTACTGGGGGTCTCCCCCCAACCACCACCTTATCTAATTGAACCAAACACTGAGTTTCAGCTTAACACCCAGGTCACTCAGCCAGCTCACCAGACGGGGGTCTGCTATCACTGTTGTACATCCTGAGGAAGTGCTTACACCGAGCACATTGGATAGAGGCCATTTTAATTCATTGATGAATTAACACAAAGTTGGCTTATGGCAGAACCTTCAAGTGTGCAATAAAAACACTTTAGCTGAATAACTTTACACACACCTCTTCACAATGTTCCTTCTCTCAGCTCTGGTATGGATTTCTGACTTTGCTTCACAATCCCCACAACTCTCACCTGGCTCTGCAGGAAGTGGGGTGTCTGCGGCTTGTTTTCCGTGGCCCACTACCACCCAACCTGGTGCTCAGGTTGCCCCAGGCCCACAGCCAATAGGTTTTATAGCAACCAGTCCTAGTCAAGGAAGCTGTCCTTAGTGCAACCAAAATTCAATAGTCAAGCTCTTATTTTCCCCTAGAGGGAGCCATTGAGTCGGATGCCTCCGCCCATCCTTTCAGAATCCAGAGGCAGCTAGGGAGCCCAAGAGAGACACATTTGTGGGTTGGGGATAGTCCATTTGGACTCTAACACTTGAATTAAAAAACAAAAGAGCCTGAAATGAGCAGAACTCCACTGGGCAGCCAGGGAGTTAGGGAGGGGAGGGAAGGCCTGCTGGTATGGCAGGCCCCTTCATTACAGAAAGGGTACAGACCCAAGTTTAGGAGGACAACAGCATCAAAACATTCACCAAAGCAGCAGGACAAGGCTGAGGTTTAGCTCCACTCTCAACAAGGAAAACCTGGTTCTGGCGGGAGTTCCAAAATCTCTTTATTACACCTGCTTCCACTACAGGCAACTTAACTGAGTCATAAATAGCACATGACCAACACGTACAATTCAAATGACACACGTAACCTGATGAGGAGTTGTGTAAGACCCTAAACATTCTTGCAGCCAAGGCAATTTCTCACATTTTCCTCTCTGGATATTCACTTTTCACTTTGCAGAACTTTAAAAGAATAGTCCCAATTCTTTGGCTTAAACAGAGCTTAAAACTCCTCTCTGAATCTTAGGAGGCCAAGACTTTTCAGCTACCCCCGCACGTTTTCCCTTGTGGCAGCCTATGCTCCAAGGTAACGCAGCTCAGCAGATATTCCGCCTGAGCGTGTCTGCTGGCTGCCCAGGCAAGTTGCTGATTTTCTTCTCCATGCTTCAGTTCAGCCACAGTGCAATAAATACGAACAGAGAGGTGACAGTGTTTGGCACAGCCTAATAATCCACATCCTGGCTTACCCACCACAGAAATTTCTATGCAAGTGAAAACCTCCTCATGACACTCTTGGAAAACTAGCATTTCAAAACCCTCTCTAGGTGTAAGCTCATTTGTTTTACAATCCTAAATTCATGTCTCTTAATGCATTAAAACGGAAGTTTAATTTCTATTTTAAGGAAATGAAAAGCAAAACATCATTAGCCCCTTTGGCAAACACTTACCTCACACCCACATTATTATACAGGGACAACCACCGCCCTGACA